GCATGTTAAGCCAGCAGGTCCCCTCTCAACATTGTGCTTTTTTGATCGCAGCCCTTTTGGAGTAGGTTCAAAGGGAAGCCAAGCGAGAGCCCACAGTTTCAGTTCGCAATTGAGAAACAACCAAACTGGGTTCATTGAAGTAACATCCTCGACATTACCCTCTTAAAGTACTAAAAGTGGTTTCAAAGCAAACTGCTCCCCCCAATGCAATATTTGGAGCCACTTGAAGTATTCACAAACAAATGGACCCACCGGCAATTCGCCGAAGGGACTTTGATTGGTAGAGCTCTTGGTGCGACCCGACAGCTTGTGGTTGGCTCCGTCCTGGAGCCAAGGGCTCTTGCAAAGGTTTGAAGAAGGCTCCTTCATGTCTGGGCTGTCCTCAGATCCCCCGCTAGAAGTTTAACTTTTCTTGAGTTAAACGGACATCCCCACTAAACACTAAAAGGCTAAAAAACTAAAGGGATGGCTGGGAGCCGCCAAGATTTCAACTCAAGGATTGGTGCAGTCAGGGCTTCTCACCAGGAGGATCCTGATTTGCAGCTGGACGATTACAGAACCCGGGGTTTCTGTAAAATGCAGCTCCACTGTTTCCAGGTTGATGCAGACCATTGTAGCAATTGGGGTTCCTTAGTGCTCATTATTTGAGGATTCCTTATTTGCAGTGGGTCATTTGAGTTCATTACTTGGAGATTCCTTATGCCCAGTGAGGCAAATGTAGTAGTTAGGGCTCCTCTTACTTGGAGATTCGTCATTGGCAAAGGTTAGTACATATTCATCCGGATGTTGGATCAAGCCCCTGATTTGCACGTGTCGAATCGTCCCTGCAAATATAACTGTTAAACTCAATGTGACTGTGTAAACCTGTGTGTGACGGCGCGGCATTTGTTGTATCACGGGCGAAGGCTGTAATGATCTATAAGCTCAAGGCCTTGATGTACAAAGGGGCAATGCAATGTACAAAGGTGCATGTATCTTAACACCCACTGTTGGACTGATGTATCCGTGCAGCATGCCAAACAGTGTATGTTCTAGCTGGTCGAAGTGATGTAAAAGTTGTTATCAGCTCTCACTTTGTACGACTGTGCTTCTAGTGGATCGGACATCTATACAAACTGTACCCATGTAGCCTGATGTCTGACAAGTGTATCGGCACCAATTTAACCAACATCCGGTGTGCCAAAATGGCTGAGGAAGACCTTGTTGTCTACTCTGTCCTCTTGCGCTTCTTGTCCTCCTCCATGTCGGTTGTGGGTGTGTCTGTTTTGTTGAGGCCCTTCCAGCACTCATTGGTCTTGCGGCCGCTCAGCTGTTCCAGGGGCTTCACTGGTGTTGTAGCAATCTTGTAATCTGCACCGCATTTGCTCATCTTTGTAATCACCGCTGTAGACCGCTGTGCACTCATGTGGCTGAGAGCCAGTAGGGCCTGCGCAAGGCCAGCAAAGATTGTATCATGGTCCCGTGCTGTACTGATGTCGTCTACCTTGATGACTGCGTTGTATGTGTGCAAGAACCCCAACTCGCAGGTGTACAGGTTGTAGATGTGGAAGAAGCATGTGCTGTGTAATGCGCCATATTCTTGTTGTGATTTGAAAGGATTTCCTTGTCCAACCGGTTGTTGACTGTATTTGCCTTTTCCTCCTTTGTAGTTGTTGCAGCTGTAGTTGTTCCCGTAGCTCCGGCTCCGGTAGACTTTGCCTTTGTTGTGCTTTCCTTTGCCCTTGTGTTCGCCTTTCTTTCCTTTGCCTTTGTTGTGCCATGCTGCTCCTATGTCCATCGGTGCCGGTCCTTGGTTGTTGCTGCCGTTGCTCTGTAGTATTCGATCACCATGGATCTGATCTGTGCATATTTTGTGACGTTTCCTGCTTGCAGCTGTAGGTGTTGCCGTAGTGGTCTTGACTGCATCTGGTAGTAGTGTGTTGTTGTCTTGCTCGTACTTGGGGAGTTGGAACTGCCAAGTTGTGAAGCTCTCTTCGAACTTCTGTTCATCAGGTTGTGGTTTTAGCAGCCATGTAAAATACCCAACGCTCCGTGTACCAAGTGGCATGGAGTACCTTGCACGTTCAGGTTCCAAAGCCGTTGCCTTGAATGTTTTGCCTGCAGATGGTAGATGCTGGTCCATCGCATGTGCTCACTAAGATGTAGTGTAGGTTGTTGCTTAGTTGTATCAAGTGCTCTGCCACTTGTTGTGAAGGTTCTGCATTCTCAAGTTGGTCGTTTGTAACTGCTCTGCCTGTCTAAGCAGTCTGTTGTATGCTGGGTTTTAGTCCCAGGTATGCTGTCATCTTGTATTTATTGTCTTTCCTCGAGGTGTTGTATTCTCCTGTGAACCGTGGTTGTGATATCTTGTATTTGTGGGTTCCTTCCAGCTGCTGCTCCTGTTGCTGTTGCTGTTGTTGAGCCGCCATGTTGCTCACTACTGTGTGCCTGAACCTGTGGGTGCGTGTTGGAGCTCGCCCTGGGTAGTGTGCGAGGATCGTGCGCCAGGGATCACTGCTCCGCTACCATGTTAAACTCAATGTGACTGTGTAAACCTGTGTGTGACAGCGCGGCACTTGTTGTATCGCTTTCAAAGGCTGTAATGAACTATAGGCTCAAGGCCTTGATGTACAAAGGGGCAGTGCAATGTACAAAGGTGAATGTATCTTAACAATAATATATATATATATATATACAATATATATGTATGTAAATTCCTCGCGAAGGTGTGCTAAACTGGTCCCGAACAGAGTCACACATGAGCCACAATCAAAAACCTGTCAAAAGACAAGCGCCAGCCCCTTGAGTATGCAGCAGGGAAAGGTCAAAACAAGCTATTTTCTGGGTAATGGTTTCGTGAGCACGATCAAAACCAACAGGTGTCCACCACGCCCGAGGCCCATCTACCGGTGTTTTGATTGTGGCTCAAATGTTAGTCAGTTCTCGGCCTGCGCTGATTCCTTTCGCAATTGCCTCTGAGAGGGTGAGACTTCCTTTCAAAAAACTGGTGCGCGACACACAAACGAATCAAGCGCGCCGTTGCCTTGCACCAACTCAAGTCACATATTCGGGAGTGTCGCACCTATCTCGCAGTGGTGACCTTGGAGAATATGGAACACGCTCCGTAGACTGCCGTGGCGAATTCTTCCGTTTTCAATGATTGTCTGGGGGGGGGGGGGGCGGAGGGTGGGGTTGGGGCGGGCGGGGGAAGTACTTCTGTTGCGACCACCATGCTCATGAGGCCTCTCGGTTCAGGATGGAGCGCCTGAGTGACGCATGTTGCGTTGTCTTGCCTTGGTTCTACTCATCCGCTTGTAAACTCAGCCCGCTCAAATCCGTTGAATTGGTTTTAACAAATGGGTCTGTCTTGTTTCTGGGGACAACCTCTAAAATGGTGGTGTTCCTTTGGTTTCCCTTCAACACAGACCACAAAAGGTACCGTCAAAAAAAGACTGACTCAAATGGGTTCCTTTTCAATAACAGACACGTGAGAACGTCCAAGCGACGTGAAAGCCCGGTGATTGGAATCCGTTGAGGCTGGCCGATCAAAATCCTGCTGAGTGGCTGAAACATTCCCACAGGCCGCAAAAGGACCAAACCCCAAATCAAGAGGACAGGCAAGCCTCATTTACTTTGATAACACGGCTGAGCTCCAGCCCGGCTTTCGTGATCGTGACATCTAAGTAGATTGATTGGCTTGGGCACATTGCTGAGCCTTGTTTGGTGAACTTGTCTGTCTGTGTGAACGTGCTGCTTCACTCATCCGCCATATGTTTGGGACTGACTGAGTGGTCACTATCAATCAACCAAGCGCGGGAAGCGAACATGTGAGTCTCTTGGTTTTTTCGGCCGCGCAAATCGGACCATGTCACTTCTTGAGAAACGGGCTGGCTTTTCGACCTGCTGTACCCTCATTCCATTTCTCATTCCCTGCCTATCGCGCCCGCGGGATGTTTGGCCGACTGCACGGGTCCTCTCGCAGCCCATGCTGCAGTTGAGTGGATGCCACTCTGCTGGACTTCCCCAGGCTGTGGCTGTCTCTGCGTCCGTCCAGCATTCTGGTCAGGTTCCTGGAGAGGCGAGTAAGCCAGCCAAGGCTCTAGCATACCAGACAAAAAGGCATACCTTCTATGGGCCCAAATAGTTAGTAAATAGAGCCATGGCAGACTTGAACACCGGGCATGCGTCATCATAAGAGAATGCTTGCAATTATGCAGCCCCTGTTCCCGAAACAACTCAGCTATAGTTACTATAGTGGGATGGTCCAAACTAGCAGGGCTTTCTGCAAAAGGCTCTTTGAAGAAGAAGTCTCAACTGACAAGTCTGCTTCGCTGCTTGCTGCGGGGCCTCGACTAACCAGTGCAAGCTTTGGGGAGCTGCTGAAATTGGTTTTTTGGAGGTTCCCGCGGCGGCTTGGGCGTTCCGATATTGAACTTAGACTGTCCATCGAGGGCTGCGGTTGAGGAAACCAAAGCACTCAATGGTGGCTAAAGCATGATGGGGAACCAACCCCTTCAGCGCAGGTGAATCGCCTTTGTGCCCTTTTGCATGTGGTTCCAGGGGCCACAGGGCCTGGAACCAACCCAACAGTTGAATCAAGATAAGAACAGCTTGCTGTGTTCCAATCCCAAGCCTGGTCCAAGTAATGTTGCCACCAGCATACCGCACGTTGTCAAGTAAATGGCGGACGCACTCCTTTTAACCCTCGGGCAGCTTGAGCCAGGTTTGGTATCTGTGGAGAACAGAAACACATGACAACTGCAAAATGTCATGGCTGCAAAAGAAATGAACCTCATGAATGGAGCTTTGCTTAACCATGCGTTCCTGAAGATATGAGACGGTGGACAGACAACATCTACCCTACACATGACGATTCCTCCTAGCAAACTACACACAAGGAATCCCTTCTCAGCTAAGCATGCCTCATGAAGGTTACTCACCAAACATGCCTGCATAAGTGGTGGTGCATCATTGGCATCTACCCTGTCAAACATGCATAATGCTCAGTATTCTATCTTGCGAGTTTTTGACAAGAGTCTGAGCTTGGGTGAATATCCTGAGTGGGCGATTGCTGTGACCGCTGAATTGTCTTGGTGACGAATCAAGTCAACCGGTTTATTAGCAAGTGTCTCGCGCAACTCTTGAACAGGCAACGCTTCACCGAATATGCCGGCGTCCAAAGAAATAATTTCGTCTTCAGTTGTGGATCGTGACGATGAAGAACCAGAACCATCCCGCTCGTCGACTTTGAATGCTCAGTCTCTGACGCACAGTCCGCATCAGTGTACAAGTTTGTTTAGACTTAGCGACTCGAAAGGGTCACCTATCCAACTCTTCAACGAGAGATGTGGAGTTGTATACAAGTAGCACATAAGTCTGAACAACCTCTTGTCGCCGGCCAAGCTGCAACACGTCACTTTCCTGGTTAGGTCGTTGATTGGTTTGATCAGATCCGGCCTTGCCAGTCTGGCACACCACAAAATTTTCATGAGCACTTGACTGGCGGATGTGCTTAGAGCACACCTTCTCGCCCCAATCTGTGACGTATAGATTGCATGACGTACCATATCATAAAAGATGTTTTTCCTTCAATGTTTACGGCCGAAAATCAAAGTCACTGCTATTTCAAGGTGTTCCTCAATTTTGGTCCAGAACTTCCTGGCAAGGGCCTGACAAAATCATGTCGTCTCGACGACAAGGTCATTAAACACTATGCACAAGTCCATTTACGGCTTCTCGAATGTTTGGTTTGGTGATTCCTTTTTGGAGGTCCGTAATGATAGAAACCACAGCGTGGTCACCCCTTTTCAGAGTGTCCAGCTCACAGCTCAGTCAGCAAATTTGCTTTCATTGCAGAAACTTTAGCCATTTTGATGTCAACTGGCTCCTTTGAGAAGAACCATATCACACCTGTCCAGCTCCTCGATGAAATGCGGCGGTTCTTCATAGGTCGACCATCGCCCTCTACATTTCCATTCGGTTGAACGATGTGAAGTTATCTTGTCTGAATCAAACGGCGCGTCCTTGCCAACTGGAGCAAAAAGTCGCTTTGTAGGCTGCACATGGATCACATTTATATGTTAATCGAATTCCCAAAAATCCTTTTCATTTCGTTCAGGATTCGTAGCTAGACGTTCAGTTGCGCCATGCTGCAAAGCGGGCATTGGCATTGCTGCTGATTTTGGAGTGGCGGGAGCAGATGATGGCTGCTCCGCCTCGACCGCTTTGCATTCATCTGAGTGGGGAATGCCCTCTGCAAGTTTGGCGCATCCTTTACACCCCGGAGTCTTGCCTAACCTCTTCGCCCGCTCAAGGGTGACGTAACTTCTTCTGCGCCTGACCAAAGGTTTTGGAGCGTTGCCTTCAAAAGGCAGGGATTCCCTTGTTTCAAACGATTTCATCTCCGCGCCAGGCTTGAACAGCAGGAGCTTTGACACTTGAGCTTCAAAGAGTGGAAAGGTAACAGTTTCCGGCATCACCAACTCTGAGCTGTGAACCTGCAAAGATCTGCCGTACCCTTTCGATCTAGTCCTAACAGCTTCATGGTCTAAAACCAGGTGCGCATCACGGAACCTGAATGGGCCGAAAGGAGAGGAGATCCCCGTGCCTATAGCAAACCAGGGTGCCTAATGGAATTTTGAATCCAGTGAAGGGTTCACCATTATTAGCAGCCTCGTAAGCTGTCAAACCTTCCTTGAAACTTTTTGTTTCCTCAGTGGCATGCGGATGCACAGGCGCTTGTTGCGAGATTGATTTTGCAACACAAAGTATTCGATGGATCGAGGCCACAAAGCGTGGTGAAAGCGTTCCCTCCTTGACAGACCTGACTTGTCTTTCCAATTTGGATTGTGTGCGCGGCAGACCTTGCTTCGGCGGAATTTTTGGGAAGTGCAGGAATCTTGAAAGTTTCATAAGCCTTGACTCGCATCAGCCTCTTTTCCTCGTGCTGAAGATCGTCACCTTGAGAAGAATCTGAACCACTTTCGAAGTCACTGGACGAATCTTTGCTACTCACCCCCGCCGCCTCCTCCCCACCCTGAGCTTTTCGAACTCGATGAACTGGAAGAAGATCCTGAGGATGGATTCGCATCAGACTCAGCACTTCGGCTAGCACGGCTCTTAGATGCACATCCCTTCGAGGATTTTGGCGCGCTTCTGGGTGCTTCTTGGCTAGTGCCTGAACGCTACGAGCCTTCTGTTGCTAAAAAAACATTTTCCCAGTCACTCCTTGATGCTTGTGGCGATCACCTCCCCCAAGCCCCGATGATCCGGCCAGTTTTGATTCCTGAACATCAGAACTTCCCTTAGGGCGCTTTGTTGATAAAAGCTTTTGCGCTTCTCACCGTCACACTTATGGTCAGACATTGACTTGTCACCCTTAGTGCTGGCCTTTGTGGGTTCCTGTGCCAAGGATGGATCACATGCTCCGCACTGGTGGTTCCTGCACACGCAAATTTGGTTCCGTGCCATGATAGATGATTTGCTGGAGCACCAGGCACATGCTGAACACTCGTTTGCATATTCTGAATCATGTCTTCCTGTTCCTTGATCTTTGACACTAGCGTGTGCACTTGTTGCTGCGTGTGATCAAACTCGGATTTTGCCATGATTAGCATGCTATCCTTTTCCTGGATTTGGGCATGCGCCTGCTGCACGGTACCTTGGGCTTCAGTCGCAGCTGAGCTTGGTCCCTAGTATAGTCTCTTTCTTTGCTATCGCCGGCAGTTTGTCTAGTTCATCGCAGCAAGGTTAAGGACCCCTGGGTCACATGACACATTTTGCTGTTGTTGATACTACACGGCATTTTGCTGCTGTTGACTATACACGGAACTCTGCATGGTCTGATTAGCTCTCGGATGGCCCTCAAGTTAATAGGCCGACCCTGTCAGGCGAGCGATCAATCGTCTTATAACAATCCACGAAAACAATCTTGCGACCGGCCAAGATTAAAGTTGTTTCCTCCTCTCCGGCCAAATAGTACCTGGCCGATCAGGCAACACGACCTCCCGCGACCGGCTGCGCTGGCTACTCGCCTCAAGAGGCGGCGTTTGTGGCAGCTCCGGCGACCTGCTGCGCTGGCTACTCGCCTCGTGAGGCGGTGTTTCTGGCAGCTCCTGCGATCGCGGGCCCCGGCTGTCGAAGAAGATGCAGCTGCGGATTGCGATTCTTCAGTGACAGTTGGTACCGAGTAACACAAGTCCACCGGCAGGTTCAAGTGTCGCGCTTGATCAAGTAAAGTTACTTCGATTCGAGCCCCACCCGTCTGATCTCAAGACTTGTCTCAGTATTTTTGCCTTCTGGCTTGCGCCCCTTCTACCGGATCAAATCGTCTGGAATGGGGAGGTCCGCCTGGTCGGCCGTGGCTGTGCGATCCAGTGCCAGCTAAGAGCCGCTTACGGCTGATAACCCGTTGAATCAAGACAAGAACAGCTCGCTGTGTTTGATTTGAAGCAACCCCAATCCTGATCCAAGTAATGTCGCCACTAAAAGGTAAAGAATACCGCGCGTCGTCAAGTAAATGGCGGACGCACTCCTTTTAACCCTCGGGCACGGCTTGAGCCAAACGCGGATGCGTTTGGAGGTTTGGTATCTTTGGAGAACTGAAACACATGACAACTGCGAAATGTTGGTTGCAAAAGGAATGAACCTCATGAATGGAAGCTGTGCTTAACCATGGGTTCCTGAGGACGTGAAACGGTGGACAAACAACGTCTACCCTACACATGACGATTCCTCCTAGCAAACTACGCACAAGGAATCCCTTCTCAGCTAAGCATGCCTCATGAAGGTTGCTGACCAAACATGTCTGCATAAGTGGTGGTGCATCATTGGCATCTCACCCTGTCAAACATGAATAATGCTCAGTATTCTTCAACTCCAACCCGGCCAAATTCCAAGAGATGAGATATGAATCGTCCGTCATGCTTGCTGGGAAGGAACCACAAAAGGACTGCCATTCAACAGCCCAGCGTGTTTTTGGGTTTCAAGGGGGACATCGACTTTATGCAAGATCAGCCACAGTTGTGGACATCATGGTTTCTTTGACACCAACGTACGGTCCCCGGGGCGCCTTTGTTCCCTTGACACAGAAATTCAGCCCAAACTAGACCAAGCTTTCTTCAACTCACCCCAACTTCTCCGAATTCAGTGCCGTGTCAAGGAGTCACGGGAAGGTTCCCTTGGTCCTGAGGGCCCGAAAGAAACATCTCGCTTCTCAAGTCGCTATTTTTGGCGAGTTGGCTCCCCTTGCCAGTTGGCGCTTTTTGCCCAGAACGCAATTGGTGTCCTTTTGGCTCCAAGGTATGGCACCCATTGATAATATAATATTATGGACCCTTTTTGGCGCAAAATTGGTGTCCTTTTCACCCGTTTCAATGACGCCGGACGCCGTCGCGTGCTTCCCGCCTTCTCGCCGCCGTCTCCGGGCTTGGCTGGTCCAACTTCTGCGCTACTCGCTGGGCCAGGAGTTTCGGACGCAGGAGGCCTGGCCAAACTGATCGAGACATAGCCATAGGCAAACACAATGGAAACCCAGTGCAGGCATGTACAAGCAAATGGTGAAAGAGGACCTTTAAACGTACTGTAGATACCAATAAATATTTATATATAATATATATATGCAGATTTAAATCATATATCATATAATATTATAATATTACGTTGCATGAAATATACGCACACTGCCAAAAGTATGGTTCGCCACCAACAAAAATCGCGCCAGAGGTCTTGAAATCATTCTTGCCACAGGTGCCTGGAATACCTACCATCGCTATAAATAAACATGATACCAGTACTTTTTTGCAGCCCGGCCAACTTTCTGCAGGCTTGGCCATGGCCATGGTTCGGGACCGTCGGGAATTTGGACCAATGGGCAAAAGAAACCCGCGTCAGAGCCAGGAGCCCATCCCTTTTTCCTGGCAGATGGGCATACCTTGAAAAAGGACTCCTAGTCTTCCGAAGCAAAAAGGGCTCCAATGCTGAGAAGCTGCTGGAATCGGATCTGCCCACCACGATGCAGTTCACAAGAAAACAGACGGATCGCCATGGTTGGGTCACTTGGGCTATTCCCGCGGAAAGCCAAACTGAAAACGGAACTCCCTGAACATAATATGCGACTGGCATATTGTTCCTCCGCAAATATCGTAGGGTTGATCTGGGTTCCTAAGCTGTCTGCCCCTATTGCACTGCCGTACTTTGCTACTCTCAGCTCCAACCAAGAGGATGGTCCAAAGCAAACAACTAAACTACCCACCAAACATGGTTGTGAAAAAATATCCCATTCTCTGATACCGAAGTAGGGAGATGGCTACTTTAAGACTTAAACAGGGGATTATCTTGATTCTCTTGGTATCGCATAATGTTGCCTAAACCGAACTTCCCGCGATGGCCGCATCTCACAGTGCGGTCAAGATCTGCGTAATATGGCTGTGGGTCAAAGATAGGTACCCAAAATGGGGCTCTGGTAAATGGAACCAAGGACTAAAACCAGTCGTCCCCTAGTGGTTTAGTTTTGACCCATACCCATATCAAGAAGCATTCATACCTGTGATTTTGGCTGGGAGGATTCCACCATCAGTTGTATCCCAAATTCGTTGCACACCCCCTGATGGTGAAGGGACCAAATGGTAAGCCATCCATTCTCTCGGCTCCACTCCTATTTTCAGAACCCATGAGTTCTGAAATTTGAGCCATCATTATTTCCCTTGCTTTTGGGAAACCGCTCCGTTACGGCTTTGGGGTTTACAGCAAACCGGACTGTGGGAAACCTGGTTGTAACTCACAATTGAACTTTCCTGGGTGAGCTCGCTTTCCCCAAAACCATTTCGCATGCCAATCCCGGAAGCAGTCGGACATGTTTCGGCTAAAGGTTTCGAAGGTGGGCGACAACAAGGACCCCGGCTTTTTCGGGGAAGGCTCAGCCTAGTCGAAGCTTGGGCGTCATCATGTACACCATGATGTTGAAGAACTGTGTCATCTTGTTCGGCCGGTTGTCATCTGCCCCATCCAAAACAGCCCCAAAACCTCCCTCTAGGCAAATGCCCCAAGGCTGGAATCGGTATAAATCGAATCTTCGTAAAGCAAAGCCGAATCAAGCCAGTCATGGCAATAGAGACTGACATAGCAATTTGATCGATAGTCTCTTCACCTTGAAGCTTGGAGGTATCGCAAACCCTCAAGAGGCCAGCATCAAGTTTCGGTGGCCTCCTCAGCATTCAGATCAGGATTCGGACCAAGTCGGGAATCTACTTGCCTTTTGCTGTCCCCCCCCCTAGTACACGGTCTCTGTACAAAGTTCCAGAATGTAGTCTTTGCTCAAACCATCACTTCTTGATTGATGTAACGCACTGCCAGCGTCCCTGACCAGACCAGTACTTATTGAGCGACAAGAGTTGCACAGTGCGTGTAAGAAATCATCACTTGACCCATCCATGCGTCCCGCCCCGATCGCCTGGTGGGGTCAGCGGTAGCTTAGAGCATAGGTTGATTTGTTTTTTAGGTTCGGTCTAGGGTGATGTTGTTGCGTTGTTAAGTTTTAGGTTTATTGATTTCCTTGTTTTAGTTTGCGGGCTTTAGTTGGGTCATTGGGGTGTAGCTTGAGGCTTGCTTTTGTTTTGGCGAAGCGCTTTGAGGGATTGGGTTTCTGTCTTTTAAGGTGCAGGTATAGTGTGTCTAGGGTTCGGCCTAAAGTTTTTAGGTTCAAGGCTTAGGGAAGAAAACAACACCATGCGCGACGGAAAGCGCCATCCCCAGAGAGGTTGCTTTCAAGTTGGGGAATCGGGACTCTGGTCGGAGCTGACGCCAGTCCCAAAACACTGGCCCTGCGCAGGATGTCCTTGATGGGCGTTGGGGCAGATCACATGGATCCGCAACTTTAGCTAGGGTCTGCTTGATCATTGGCATTGATGGCTCCATGTGTCTGTGTGTGTTTTGAGGGTACCCTTTTTGGATGATTAAGGGAAGCCAGAAGAAATCATCAATTCTTGGGCAACCCTATTCTGAGACAAACCCATATTGGGAAGCCTCTCGTTCTAGTGATTCTAGTGATGTTGCTGGGGCCGCATCTTCAATACACTGGATCTATTGAAGTCACATCTTCGAAAGTATTTTCATGGTGATTTAAAGGGAAACCAGCTCGAAAAGCAGCTCGAAAAGCAAGCATAAACACCCTCGACCCAGCAATCACACATCTGAACTGAACAAGCAACAAGACCGTCGGCTGCAATTAGGTTGCGTCTCTATAGTTTTCCTCTGTCAATTTGCTGGGCGCATGCGGAATTGGTTGGCTGCCATTGCCTGCATGTGCTTGTTACCACTGAGTCTGCATGTTCATTCGCACACATTGCAACAGCAACAGCCAGACTCGTAATTTCAGCACAAAGCTAGCAGCTGGCTGCGTGGGCCACCAAAGAATAATCCCATTTAGATGATTCAGCACAACACATTTCCGCCTTTTTTAGCAGTCACCTCCAAATATGTTGTTTTTGCAAGAGGCTACCCGATTTGGTCTCGCAATGGTGACCCCGCTCCAATTATATGTGGGTTGTCCTTCGGTTTGCCTTCCAAACCTACCCCGAGCTGTCAAGCTCGCACAAAACGTGCGAGCGTGAGGGACACCCTCATCTTCAACTGGCAGGTGAATCCATTCATTCATGCGGATAGTTAAATGATTCTCCTGCAACCATGGATCACCATGGGAAACAGTCAAGAAAGCTTACTACGACATCCGGCTGTGTGACCCCGTCCTTCAATACTGTCTGACTCTTCGTCATGTTCATGCATGTAATTCAGCAGATCCTGCCAAATTGCCGCCACATCAGAAACAAAGCGCCTAGGGACAAATGTTTTGTACAGTTTGGGGAAGTGTTCTGTCACGCTTGGCCAAACTTTGGGGGTAACAAAGGTCGCACATCCGCTCAAATAGCCATGTTTGGCAATTTCTCCACAAAGGAAGGCTGCGCAAAACAACGGAGGATTCACTTCAAATCGGTGCTAAACTCCTGTAACCTACAACTCGAAGGCTCCTGCTCTCCTCCCATTTGCACCCCAAACAATGCGTGGTATGCTTGTGCCAGTGCATTCGACAGGATGTATGGGGGGTGTATCTCAAGGGCAACCTCGACGAACAAAACTGATTTACCTTTGGCTTCCCCCAGCAATATATATATATATATATAGTCTGCTCTTGTGCTATAAGAACCTTTGCCCCAGCGCTTGGCCCTAAAACCAAAGCAAGCTTGTCCGTTGGACTGCACCCATGTCCTTAGGCCCAGTGCAAGCAATCGTCACGAAAGTACATCAGGGGTTCACGCCAGGGAAGTGTTAACAGTTAACTGCCCGCGGAATGTGCGGTAGCTCAAGAGGAAATGCGACAGTTAACACCACAAAGCAAAGCACCAATGTCTGACACCCCTGACCCCTCTGCGTGCGTGTGTGTGTGTGTGTGTTGCTTGAACCTCCGTTTTAAACAAGCTCCCTTTAAAGTGGCCGGCAACTGGGTGCTACTCATTTTGCAACCAACCTCTGAACAGGTTTCCCTTTCAAAAAACTGGCAGTAAACCGGTTTCCCTTTGAAGGCTTTGCTTCTTGCATGCCCATCCCCCGAAATCCGAAATCGGGGGATGGGGCCAAAGACATCAAGGCATGGTGACATGCCCCGTCCTCCTCCCAAACCTGGCGAGGGTTTTGGCAGAACATGTTTCGGGTCCTCCAGTTGCTTTTTCGTCCCCTGGACAAGATGTAAAAAATATGTCCAGTAGTGCTAGATAAAACCAACAGGGGAAAATACAAACATGTTCTTAAACAAATGGAAGGGGTTGTTCAGTGTTGGTAGGGTATCCCAGCGGAAAGGGAAGTAGGGCGTCACTGCGCAACTGGGCTTTTGTCGCACACATATATATATATTAATATATAAAAGCAAGGCAGGCAAGCGCGCATTCAAAAAATACGACAAGGCTCCATACTACTGTAGCTCTCAAAACCCATTGCTGGTTGGTTCCATCAAGGAGGGTCATAAACGGAACGGCCCAGGGCTGGCAAAGCTAAGCTTGAAAGGGAACTGACAAAAGCTATGAAACCCATGAACCTCACAAGTCTCCAAAATGTCCTCACTGTTAAGACTTTTGTTTGCCTTAGTTGGCCATGTGAGTCACAATCAAAACCCGGTATTAATATGGTCTACCCAGAACCATGTAAAGAATTAAGAAGGCGGCTGCAGCTATTCATGGTTGGGAGTATCCATGGCTGGGTTTTGATTGTGGCTCACGTGGTTCTGGCAGGCTGCTTCTCTCGAGCACGCTTTGGAAGGACTTGTCCAAAGTAGGCGGTTTTGGGATGGTGTTATTATATGCCACCTTTGCAGGGGAGCCCAAAAAGGGTCCACGATTTTGACAACCCTCTCTGAGAACTTGGGGCTAGGGTGGACCTAGGTGGCCCTGTCACTCGATGTGTAGAACATTGAGCAGAGCTGCATCGAGCGAGTCTACAGTGTTCAAATGCTGATTGCGTGGGCTCAGAACCCATGGGTCACGGGGGCAGATTTGGACCCTTTTAAAGACGGCTGAGGCGGATAGTTTAGCACTCACTTGAGGAAAACATAGGGGCAAGGCATCCCAATTCACATGCACAAAGGGGAGGCCGGATACCTCACACAAACTAATTGTATGAAATGCCTATTGTCAGATACTCGGATGTGCGATGCCCCAAGGATGACTTGTGCGGGCTGTTCTGAGCAACGGACAACGTGTTACTCAACAGAAGAATCCACCATGTCCATCCGCCCAGCTGGGCCATAGACAAGTCAGAGAATGCTAACAAACATTCCGATTATTCAAGGACCCGGGGCAAGGTCAGGTACCCTGGTCTGGTCTACGAACCCCGGCACAAACTACGCGACCTGAGCAGCTCCAGAAATGTCAGTGGCCTTACCGAGTTGCGTCCTAAAAACACAGGGACCAACAAAAAGGTCGAATTGGGCCGAAGCAGATCAAAGGCCGTATACAACAGCGGGCTAGAAGCCATCGCTTGCCCAAAGGTGTATTGACACCCTTCTCCAAACCCCACGGTTTTGGCCTTGAATAGGGGACCCCTACACATATAGGTGCTTCTTCTTGCATGCCTCATGAACTAAGCTAAGCGGGCCAAGTGTTACCATGCGCACCTCATTCAAAAGAACTCCAAGCGGGCCTTGCGATTGGACCCCCACTCCAAGCGGAAGCGCGGGGTGCAATTTCTCGACACTTCACAGCCGCACCTCCAGCGTGTCCGGCTCCTCCTTCAAGTATGCCTGCAGGCACTGGGAGAGCGTGAATCATCCGTGTGGGTGCTTGCGAACATTCCCAAAATCCTTTCGATGCAAGAAAATATGCCAAGGAATCCAGCCATGTTGAGTCTATTTTGAAGCCCATGTTTGGTGAGGGCAACAAAAGAAGCCATCTCAGGGCGCCTGTCTGGACCCAGGTGCGAAGCATCGTGTCAACATTCTCGAAGCCCCAAGGAGATCAGCTCTGGTTGAAAATGGGGCGAGCCAAGCGTTCGGCAATTTCAACGCGTCATGGCTCGGTATGCGCTTGCAACTCTTCGTGGGAGATGGTCATGACTGCGGTGGTAGGAATCCTTACAAATTGTGTGCCCAAATTTCCTGTTGATCTGAGCGGTTCAGAAACCATCGCTACTACGCCAGAAGTAAAGGGGTGCTTTGACCATGCTGGTCTCTGCTGCAGCTGCCACTCCAAACCACATGTTGGCAAAGTAGGAAAGGCAGAGAATGTGAAGAAGTGGAGATGGCTCATGTTATCTATTTGCATGTTGAATGGAAGCAAAGCAATTGAGCGGTCGAAGTCTTCCGGGCCATTTGGGCAGTCCACTGCGTGGGGTTGTTAGAAAGGACTATATCTAGGTCCTCCGCTATAGAGGTTAGAATAAGGGTACCCTTTTTCTGTAGTCTATTTTAGTGGGGGAACCCTCCCCCAAAATAGGGTAAAAGGGCATCACTGGGGGACCGATATATTGTAAAACTTTGCAACTATGTGGGTAGAGCCAAAATTTTAATTGTTCTTTTGAGCCACGCTGAATTTGTCAACAGATATCAAACCAAACCACAGCCGAAGCCACGAATTGGGTACTCATGCCTCAACGCTGTCATCCATATGGGCAATGGAGGCAGCTGTTGGCATCCGCTCCACGTAAACTTCAGGTGCCACGCTGCCCTGTTCTCCATGCCTCAAGAGTAACCATGTCACTTCACAATCGCAGGAAACATAAGCAATCAGCTTCAGCGCGTAGTCTTAGATTGAAAATCCCTACGACCTCTGCATGAATTGAAATAATTCCCCAAGACACAAACGGATCATCGAGAACGCCACATTTGTCGGGCCCCTCGTCGGCCAACTGAAACCCTTTGTGTCGCTAGAATGCGCAGAGAACCTTTCTCAACAACCATCGCTCTCAACTCCACGCCGGTGCGTCGCTTTTTGGGGAACCTCTTTTGGCTGATTTCAAAGGAACCTTTGGAATATGTCCACATTGCGAAACAAAAAGCACACAAAACGGTTGATGTGTCTCACAATAGGGGTCCCCGGTGGCTTTCCTTTGGCTTACCTGTTGAATACCCCCCCAAAACAAAATCAAAACTCACAAGGCAAATGCCCAGTGCCAAACAAAATCTCACAAGGCAAAGCCTGACCCAGTTCAGTGCCAGACAAAAACTCACAAGGCAAAGCCTAACCCAGTTGTCCAGTGCCAAACAAAAACTCACAAGGCAAACCCCAACCCAGTTGTCCAGTTGCCCAGTGCCAAAAAAGGGTACAATTTCTTTGGGGAGCCATGTTTTGCTGATCTAGAAAAGTACCTCCCACATGGACGTAGACAACTGGGCACTTACTCGTTTGGGGCAGCCTCCCCTGCAATTGAAGGAGGAAGCTGACGTTCGGAGGATGTTGGAAACGACTTTCCTTTTGGAGAAGGACAAGCCTCCACTTCTATGCGTGTTGATCTCATTTCCTGAATATCTTTGGCCAAACAAACTCCACTCTTGCTTGACACTAAAACGGTCCAACGCAACTGACTACGTCAAGGAACGCAAGTGAGCAGCAGTTCTTCCATGGCCTGAAGGGCGTGCTGCTCATGCACCCCCGCGGTGGTCCGATGCGTGAGGATGTGGAAGCTCCCCTGACCCGTGTCAAAACTGGTCCAAACACACAAGCCTTGATTCTTATACATATTTCCAGAAAGAGTGGTCTTAAACATCACCTCTCGGGGCCCATGTTTTTAGGGGAAACATTATTGGGAACCCCGTTTCATGACTGAAGCAAACAGGAAGGCAGCCCTAGGCGTCTTGTTCTGTTGGCAAAATAGACGCCTGTTGCGTGATTAGGACCCCCGCTTTTGGTTCTAGCAAGATGGGTGCATAGCACAAATACAACCAGGACAGTCAAAACACGGCGCCTAGCCCGGGAAGGGTTCCGCCATCAAACGCGCACGTGACACAGGCTTGGAGCATCTTTTTGGGGTGGTTTTGAAGAAAACCAAAGCGGGCATTATGTGATTGCTCTTTTTGTTGGAGGGGAGGGGGCAAAGGCCACCCAATTTGGAGACAAACCAGGCATTGCGCTTTTGTTCCCTTTCCCGACTGCTTGAGTTATCAAACAGGTGAAACCAAGCCTGACGAGCCAAAACGGTAGAATTAAGCGGGTGTGAGTGAGTGCAGCGCAATGACAGAATTTCGTCTTGCGGATCCATGCCACTCTCAAATGCGACGATTCTTCATGCAATGATCTATTTCATAGGCGGTGCTACAGCACACTCTTCTATCCGCAGAAGACACGCGCCATACATTCGCTAAACTGGCAGAACTTATTTCGTGTAAATACAAGGTAGGCTTCAGCGTTATGCAACCTGTGCAACCGATGAACGAGATGCAAACACATACCTTAACATTATGTGTTCTCCAAGCACGTTCAGCCTGATTGCCAATTTACATGATTGTCAAGGGTTTACACGATGGGCCAACCGCTTGTAACATGTTTAAACAACCCAATTGTTTCAACCTCCTTTTTGATTCCCGTTTAAAGGATAGTTTGTGGTCCGCTGTTTAAGGAAACAGGTAGGGAATATAGCGCTATGGGGACACTCCAATTGTCAGGCAACCCTACGTTTCTAAGAAAACCAGCTTGCACCAAAGGACAATCATAGTCTGTAGCATCCGACAGGAACTCACCCAAATCGATAAATCGATGGTGGCTTCTGCTGACATAACCCCGCTCAGAGTGAATTTGAGGTCAACAATTTCAAATTCGACAATTGTGACATGTGCCCGATACCTATCATGTTTAAGTACACCGTCCTGCTTTTCTTCTCCGTGTGTGTTTCCAACAAATGTGAATATATTGTGAGGAATAGGCATGTAAACATGTTAGATCAAGTTATACAAAAGTACGTGATATCTTCTCAGGAAACATATATTAGTACTCCTGTATCTTGCATTAAATAGTACCCCTGCATAAACACGTTGATATTCAAATAATGCTCATCTAGACCCCCGCATGCCTACGTTATACGTGGGATTCGGTACCCTCGGGTTGATTGGAATGGGAAACCCAAGGAGGAATCACCATTGTGGTGGGGCCCCAAATCTTTGACACATGCCCCATGGTTGGGAAATCAAGCCCCCACAAAGCCCGTGGTAGCGCTTGAGCGCCGGCCTAGAGCCTACCCTATCACTATCAAAGCCACTCCCCAATGGTAGGCGAAAGGGAAGCTGACTGCTTGATAACTCCAGGAACAGTCCAAATACTGACTCCAGCTAGTATCTCAAACAGGGTAGCCATACCAAGAATCCCAGTTGTGGTTGGGACGATATCTGAACCTTCACGCGCGCTCGGGTTTTGTGGACGTTATGGACTTGTCCGACCCAAAGGTTCCGGCCTCCGCACCGTTGCGGATCTGGCGAACGACCCGGCCCTGGAACCTAGCGTCTCAAATGGTTGAATTGGAATAGAGTGAAAAACATGGAAAGTGGTCTGTCTTCTGCGGGATACGTAGATGAAATTGGCTAGTTTAGCCTCAGTCGCCAGGGCCCCTGCTTTGCAGAGGCAACCCGACCAGAAAAGAGGAAGCTCGTTCGGAAGATCAGTGATTTGCTGATGTTCTGCTCGCTCCGAAAAGGGCTCCACGCGTACACCCCCCCCCCCCACCCTCAGACACGCTGGCGTAAACTTAGCTTTGAGGCCTGGAAGCCAACTTCTTTTGCGGCGAGCGGCGGTTGATAAACCATACCCGGAGTGAAGGCGGGGTGGGCTTGCTACCCAGGCCAGTCCTCATGCTAGCTTAGGCCCCTGAAAGTTGAAGGGAACAAAAGCGTCGGCAAATGAGACGTGTTTGCCATCTGTCCATTCTTATTCCACCACAGATTGATACGTAGTGCTTTGCAGAGCTGACTTAAGGGCGGATTGAGTGTTCTTAGAAGGGAACATGCAGAACATGGCAACACACTTCCACTAGCATTCCGACATGATCCAGATTGTGGATTAGAGGATCACTTCCACATGTTCTACTCAGGGCACGCAATGCTTTTAGTACCACTTAACTTGACACGATTTGTGCCCTAGCTTCCAGTAGCCACGAGAATCGGAGACAGGATTAGGTTTAGAGCTACTAAAGTGTTCGAAAGCAGAACAAAAACAAAGCCACGCCCGCAAGCGTCACCCAAAGCCTGCGGCTCGGATTTAACCTTGAATGCACTCCAATCAAACTCGAAGGACGCGTGCATGGCGGCATTCGCGCGTATCTCGGAAGCGAATAAGGTCAGAATAACAGCGACTACGCAATCTAGCGCAACTAGGGTAAGTAGCGTAACTAGGGAAACTAGGGAAACTAGGGAAACTAGGGCGAGCCAACCAGTGGTCCCCTCCCGGCTCACCCCAAACAAACACCCCGCCGGACAGTGAACAAATCGAGTTCGAAGTTGAATCTATTGCACGCCGGCAATCCGCTCAAACCAAGTTTACAACAGGGGTTTTGAAATACAACAAGAGGGCGTGGCGATCTGCAAACTACAAGTAAATGTGTTTGCAAGATGAACAACGAAATCCAAACACCAAGGAGCAAGTCTGAGTGCATCTAGACTGCCTGAGGCACAACAAATGTTTCTCATGCTTCGCTGTTGATGTGTTGTGAGTTGGTATTGAATGGTTTAATAAAGATATCTCTGTTTTTGATAAGTGTTATTCTCATGTCGCTGGCTGACGTGCTTTCAGATTTCAATGCGCACAAACCAGCAAAATGTAACTTCTGAAGGGGAAATCCTCTCACTTCTGCCCAAGCTAGTTCGATGTCCGTGATGAGCAAAGGTGTGAAGAAAAGCTTGCGCGCATGTGCAAACGCTGCCCTCATAATGTATGCCTAGCCGGCACACGGGTATGGGTCACAACCAATGGTGCCATTTTGGAGTAGGTGCACCACCCATTTTAGTCTCTTTTAGTGGGGATTGGGATGTTCACTGGGGGTACGGGAATTTGACCCATGGCCACATGCAAATTCTAGTACGGTCGCAAACCAATACCACTTTAGCGTGGTCCCCAAGCAAGTCCAGTATTGACACACTGTCTTCATCTTTCTTTCAAGGGGCAAGGCGCACACAGATCCCAAGGAGGCAAACATGACCATGAAGACCATGTAGTTCCTGGGCATTTGGGCGCAGGGAAGTATCCGACTCGAACACCTACCGAACGCCATTCACACAACCCATAGGAGATGGCCAAAAACCCATAAGTGGGCTACATGCCCTCACATCACTCAGATATGATCATGGCTTAATAGGTTTCAAAGTACCAGACAACCCCCTTTCCAATTTGGCCCTGGTAGTACCCCAGAAATATCATCTTGAAGCTAGCGGCCACCCGATATATTCAGATAGTTTATCTCCGTTCCATCGCTTTCAACCATGGTTCTGAAATCAAATGGCAAGGGTTGTCTGGGGGAAAAAACATGTCCCCAGCAAAACATGTTGAAATACCACTAGCATTCTCCCTACGGGGTCGGTGGCCATCTCCACCAGCCCCAAGCAACCATGTTTTGACCACACAAATCCAACCCGGAGAACACCCGACACTTGTGCGAGAAAATGGCTGACAGGCTGACAACTTGGGCGCAACATGGTTACACTTGGAAACAAACTGCGTCAATCTCTTGCATTGCCGGGATTAAGAAGCATGCAGGGTCATGACCAGAGGAGCTTGATTTTCCCAGTAGGAGAAGTAACTCCTGAGTTTAAGTCCACCTTGGGGTTTCCCAAACGGATCAATTTGGCCCAAGTTGTGTCCGTGGCACTCCATGAACCAAAGGGGAGACTTGGCACCATCGAACTGCCACTCTTCCAGCGTGTTCTTGATGATCGAAACTGGCAAGGACCTCGGCTATCGGAAGGCCAGCGCGTGCGTCTCTTTGTGCGGGACCTGTTTTGGCTTGGGAGAGAAACTTAGCTTGTTGGGGGGAGTCCACCACATTGAGTCAGACCAACATACTACAAGCACACCATGCCACGCCACAGCACGCAGGCAAACAAACACGCGCACGCACACGCGCATGCGCACGCGCACCACGCGCACACGCGCGCACACACGCACACAGGCACACTCGCACACGCGCACACGAGCACACGCAAGCACGCACGCACGAGGGCGCACACGCACGCGCGCACGCGCGCACGCGCACGCACACGCATACGCACACAGACACACACACACACACACTCACACACACACACACACCCACACGCACACGCACACGCACACAGACACACACACACACACACACACACACACACACACACACACACACTCACACTCACACTCACACACACACACACCCACACCCACACCCACACGCACACGCACACGCACACAGACACACACACACACACACACACACACACACACACACACACACACACACACACACACACACACACACACACACACACACACGCACACGCACGCACACGCACACGCACGCACGCACGCACGCACGCACGCACGCACGCACGCACGCACGCACGCACGCACGCACGCACGCACGCACACGCACGCAAACACGCACAACACGCACAACACGCACGCACGCACACGCACGCACGCACGCACGCACGCACGCAAACACGCAAACACGCAAACACGCAAACACGCAAACACGCACACAAATTGCTCACACGCACACACGCACAGACACGCACACACGCACAGACACGCACAGACACGCACACACGCACACACACACACTCAACCATCGGAGCCCCCAAAATGGTGGCTTTACTCTTGGTTCATTAGCCAACTTAAAAAAGGTTCCCTCAACAACTTACACACAAACCCATTGGCCGAAACACATGGTTTCCAAAGAGAGCATGGGACAGCTAGTGAGTGCCTTACTTGTTCTGGGAAATTTAGCTTTCCTTCCTTATCGTGCCTCCCAAAAGAGCCGAGACACGTTGAGCCCTTAAAGACTGGCTTCCCAGAAGGCTGTGATGACTGAGAGATTGAGCCATCTAGGGATTCATCCAGGGGGTTACATGTGGACGTACAAGTTTACCCTTGGAGTCAACACAAACTGTGTTGGTCATGTTGGTCATGGTCATCTAGCAAACTCAAGAAGTGGCTGTTGCCCATGTCGACTTGCGCAGACTTCATGGTCAACGTATCGTAAGAATGATCTGCTAGGACGAGGTCGATCCTATGATGCCAAAAAGTGACTGCGGACACCTTGTTTCCCAAGCATGCTGGTAAGTCTGGGTGATGTAGCATTGCATCATGCCCATATCATGGGATGTCACGTGTTTCAGAGTGGAATGACAGTCTTTCACACTCGATCAAACCAGAAGACTACGTCTCTGTCAATGCCGGGCTATTGCCAGGGCTGTGCTGAAACATACTCGCATGTCGGGCGGGAAATGCCAGCTCCTTCTTCCCGTCAAGAAACAGTCCAAAATATATCCTTGGACATTGAATGTCGAGCCCCGTGAATCTGCCTGGATGCTCTGAATCATGTTCCTAGCCGCCGAACAAAAACTAAAATAAGGCGGTGTCTTGTGACAGTGCTTGCTTGCTGTGGAAAACCAACGGCAACCCTCAGGTCAAAAGGAACTGGGCAGATTCAGTGCAATTCTCTTGCGCCGTCCATTTGTCACAACTGGAGCACAACTGGAGCTTTGCAGACAAAGCACAGCTGCATAAAGGAGCAAATCAAGGCCTTCAGCGCATTGCCCAGAAAAGTCCAGAGCGACATTGCTTCCATCACGCGGCCATTCACCATCATCTCGGACGCGACGCGGCGCCGACATGGTGAACAAACGAGCAACGAGCCTTGCCAATTCATCAACGAGCAGTGCCGGGTATGTGGGTCTCCTGTCTGGCTCTTTTTGGCAATCACGTATGAACATGAAAACACCATCTGTTTCCTTGGCGCAGCTGCAATTCCTTTGCCATATCCTGAAACCTCACAGCGAGTCATGTCTAGAAGCCCCTTCTTATGCCAAGTTCGCGTCCACTCACAATGGGCTTGCGACAGTCTCTGAAAGCCTGGGGTTGAAACCAAGCTTTGAACGTCTGCTTTCCATGGGCAAAATGCCAGCCTCACCTTTGCAAGTCTAGCGATACAAGCCGTGAACAACCAACCTGCGCAAAGTTGCGCCCAGCGTACGCGAGTACATCCCCCCACATAGAACTGAACAAGCACCCTCAAAACTCCCGCAACAAGCCCGCTTGGATGCCGCCCACCTGAGTCTGGCCAATTGGGAACATGCTAAGAAATGAACAAAGGCAACGTGACATGAGAAGCTTCACGCGAAGCAGTCCTCAACACAAACTCACCATGGAGTGCAACATGACATGAGAAGCTTCATGCGCAACGAACCTTGTGCATACGCACTGCGCCGTGGCACAACATCTACGAGAGGAGGAAAAGGGGCATCCAAAAAGAGGGCAGCAACGACGCCAAAGCGACGCCCAACACATCTTGGGGCCAGCCCCCTTTTCAGCTGACCTGAGTGACAAGCTACTTTTCTGCAGGACTTCATGTTGGAGTACAACATGAGTCAACCGCACATTCCAAATGCAAGAACACCTTTGAAGGGACAAGGTGAACTGTTCATCGGCGGCAAAAACAAGGCTTTTGAAAGCCTGTGACGACGCGCCGTGCTCGATTGGATCCCACAGAACGAACATAATTACTCACGCGGTGGGTGAAGTTCGGGGTTCCTAGTATGAGTTTGCATGAAGGGTGTTTCTAAGTTTGCAGAGGCCCCCAAAGTTTTATGCAAACAGGGATCCAAAAACACATCTCTGTCCTTGCGCCTGCAGTTGCTGAAGTCCCCAGGAAACAAAAACTAAGAATCATTTCACCAAATAAGGGTTTGGCAACTCTAGGCCATACAAACCAAAAAACCAGTTGCACCTGTCTGGAGCTGAGAGGCCTTCGGCAGCGGATGCATCACAGCCAGGACCCGGTAGATATTCCTGGGAGACAAACAAAAGGCCCAAACAAGGTTAGGACCACAATAATTCGCGGGGGGAGGCCGGGGAAGCAGACAAAAGTGCGTGGATTCCGTAAGGAAAACCAGTGGAAATAGGATGATTCTACGGGAATGTGTAAAATTGTGTAAACATTCTATGAATATGTCATCCCTGCTTCCCTACTGTATCCGTGCTTGTTTGTCTGACAAGGCCCATGTGAGCCAGGGTCCATATTCATTGTCCCTTGACAATCGAATTGGGACGACAACCTCGAGACATTTCCTCGTGATATTCTGGCCCTGGCAGCCAAGTTTACCAATAACCGGAGTACATGGCAGTAAGCATTGACCTGTTGGTGTACGAATCATCTGGCTGAAGCAACTTGATCTCATTTGCCCAAAGAATCCAGAAACCAACGCATATGTTGGAGCACCGAAGGTGTTGTGGGCCAGTGCGATCTTCATTTAGCAATCGGCATGAAAGGATCCCCGCCATAAAAGAAGGTTCCTTCATATCCCGCCAGGCTGCCTTGATCTCTTGGCCTCATGCTGACACGGCTTCCAGTTGCGGCTAGCTGCGAAGTGAAGCAGGGACTCCCTCATCCCTGTGGAACTCCCTCATCCCTGTGGAAGTCTTTGAAACAAAAACAGCTACCGCGTCGGGTGGGTTTTTCAGGCCACATGTTGAGCACTGCGGCTTTGGTTGTCCGGCTGGCGTGCGTTTGCCGCTTGTTCACGCACTCTTCAACACAACAGCCTGGTGTGTGATTGTGCGTATGTGCGTGTATTGTTCTTTGAATCTGTCGTCTGAGAGCTTTTGTGTGCGCGCAAGCTCGTGCCTTCGCGGCGGCGTGTACTAACCCATTCCAGCCATCTGATCCATGTTCATGCCTAAAAGCAGTGCGGGGAAGAAAAGCAACTACCAATTAAACAATCTGAGCGAGAAAAAACAAGGCAAAACAAGTCTGGCAAACAGAACTTACGGAAAGCTTACGAATTGTGACTCATGCATGCAGATTACGCAGGACCTGCCGATCGCTTGCGAATCTCGCAAAAAAGCTTACGGCTGCAAGAGGAATTTTGCAGTCTCATCTAATTTCATCTTCGCAGGATTTTTTTGCCGCTCACCTATTCACAATTGATCGTCCTTACACTAGCCATGTGTTTTGACGACGCGATTCGACTCGCTCGGCAAGTCTCCCTTGTGCGATGAAGTCAGGCGCATTCTCATCCAGTCGGTCCCTACGATCCTGCATCAGCTGCTCCTGGCGAGCGTCGTGTGCCCTGACCCAAGGTTGGATTGATCCGTGGATCAGAAAAGCGGTACTTTCTCGGGAGGGGCAATCAAAGAGGATTCCATGCTGCGTCTTGACACGTGATCAAAGTCATGTAACCATCATCATGGCCAGAGTTTGAGCTGGGCGTGCCGAATGTAAACTACTGCTGGCACGAGCCTGAGACACATTCTGGAGAATGTCATCTGCAAAAATGGAATTCTTGGTGTTTCAAGGCACATGCGACCCGGCAAGCACAAGCAATCCAGCTGTTGACTTCCTCGAAGAAGAAGAAACAAACAACGGAAACAGGATACCCTTAACACCCAATATGTCTGGATTTACACTAGCGTTCACCAGATAGTAGAAGCTCAATAACGTCGATAGACATGGTGTGCGAAGATCCAATCGAGAAAACGGGTTGCTCATTGAGCTTCCTTCTTTTGGTGGAGCAAAGCTCCAACACAAAGAGCCACAAAAGCCTTTTGTTACAGTGAGTGGTTGGAGACATTTGGGGCATCACACCGTTGTTTGTCTGCCTTTCTCCACCCAGCCATTCTCTTTTAGCTGCCTGAAGTGGCTTCTAGGCTAGATGTCCAACCACTTCCCCCCGCTTTCGTGAATTCCTGTATATATTTTTATATATAGGCCCCTAAACTGATGAGTGCACCTCACAAACAGTTGAACGATAAGTAAGCCGGTGCTGCAGTAGGCTTCTGCAAAAACATAAGCAACTATTCACCCCTGTTGGGCTTTCTTTTGGGACAATTGAGCACCGGTCAGAACCCGGAGTGGGTGACGAATTCACTAACTTACCTTCCTGTTTTCAAGCGAAAAGGAGCTCAATAGATACGAGTCCTCAACGACCCCCAACGACCCTCCAAAACCCAAGGCCTCAGTGTCTGCATCGTCAAGCTCCATCACCCCATACTTTAAAGTCACCTCCTCCTCCAGCTGCCGGAGCTTACGCTGCCTCAAGCCGCAACGGACCAGACACGCTCGAGGCTTTCAAAGGGCTTCTCCCTTTAGGCTAAGCACGTCTTCGGCTGTGAAACGCGCTCCTTTTATGCGGGGTGCACATTTCTTTGTTCAACGGTTTGTTTCATGTGTGCCCGTGTTCGGTTCGGTTGAAAGGGAAACCGCGGGAAAACCCATAAGTCGTGATTTCTTCTTTTTGGAGAAGAAGCAAACTAGCGCGCCCACCATTGGCGTTGAACCCTGAAGTCGCAAAGGGAAGCTCAGCTCCACAGTTGAAATAGGGGTGCTGTCAAAACAATCCCCCCTTTTGTGGCCTTGTTGGAGGCATTCTTGTTACGTCTTAAATGGGGGGGGATTCCCTTACAAAGGGCCGCCAGTTTGTCGCCCTTCCGCATAAGAAGTCTACTTCTTGCGTTGGCACTGGAATCTGGACCAAAAGAGCACCAGCCCAACAAGGCTAGTTTGACCCCCTACCTGTATGCAGTTGCTTAAAAATAAGAGGGATATGGCGTCAAGGCTACGGCTTCAGGATCCAATGTCCTTTGCTCGGGGAGACTCAGTTGTAGGAAAACCATTCCGGGCAAACTATTGACCGGCAATCTGGGCAGCCCTGAGCGGGGAATCGCGCAAATGGGGGGGGCGGGGGTTGGTGCACACCCTCTGAGCACAGCTGGAGTGGCTGTTTTGTTTCTGCCTGAAACTATCTGACACTGCCTGAAATCCAAAGCCCGTTACAGCGTCCCCGATAGGGGCTCCCTGAAAAATACAGAACCCTATGAAATAAACCTTCACGGGTGACGTCGCAAACCCTCCCAGCCCATTTGGGGTCCCACTTCAACAAACACCAGCTGCCTCCGCCGTCTGACCCGTTCGGGATTCGATCGCAATGAAAAAAAACAAGACAAATCACCCTGTCCTGATGAAATCGCTTTAGGAGGAACCCTGTAGTGTTGTCTTTTGAAGGCCAAACGGAAGGAGCAAACCCTTTTTGGGATGCCCGATTATCCAACCAAACCCATCTGCTCACCATAAAACTTTCTAAATTAAAGCGTCTCACATAATTACAACATGTGCATTTCTGTTGGGTTTCGCTTCTTGCCCCAATATAGCATCGTGCAACAAATGCCTATCCTCAGATTTGGCAAGATTCAGAACATCCGCCGTCAATACGTTCCTCTTAGAATGTGTTCCGGTTTCCATGTGTGAATATGCAGGGCTTTTTGGCCCTGAAGTGCGCTTTTTTCGCATCTTAGTCGGATGTGTTTAGCGGAGGCACTCTTTCGTCTCGTGAGCCTTCACGTACTCCTGGCAGGGACTCAAGAGAAGTGGAGGACTGGAAGATTGCAAATATTAATGCTGCTGCTAATGCTGCCGCTGCCGCTGTTGCTGCTGTGGGGGTTGTTGTTGTTCTTGTTTTTGTTGTTGTTGTTGTTGTTGCTGCTGCTGCTGCTGCTGCTGCTGCTGCTGCTGCTGCTGCTGCTGCTGCTGCCTCTGCTCTTGTTGAACTAAGAACAACGAGCACAACAAACACAACCACAACGACAACGACAACACCAACCGCAACAACATCATCATCATCAACAACAACAACCAACAACCAACAACCAACAACCAACAACCAACAACCAACAACTACCACAACTACCACAACGCCCAACAACAACAACAACAACAACAACAACAACAACAACAACAACAACAACAACAACAACAACAACAACAACAACAACAACCACAACAACAACAACAACAACAACAACAACAACAACAACAACAACAACAACAACAACAACAACAACAACAACAACGACAAACACAAACAACAAACAACAAACAACAAACAACCAACAACCAATAACCAACAACCGACAACCAACAACCAACAAACAACACAAACAGCAACACCAACGACAACAACAACAACACCGACAAGAAGACAAAGAACAGCGGCAACATCAAAACATCAGCAGCAGTAACAACGACAACAACATCCGCATGACGACAGCACCAACAAACGAGTATTGTTATTGTTCTTATTGTTGTTAATACGGTAGTCTTCGTCGTTGTTGATGCTGTTTTGGCTGCTGCTGCTGCTGCTGTTGTTGCTGTTGTTACTGTTGTTGTTGCTGCTGCTGCTGCTGTTGGCGCTGCTGTTGCTTTGGCAACTGCGGCTGGCACTGCTGCTCCTGCTGCTGTTGTGGTTGTCCTTGTCGTTGTTGGTGTTGTCGTTGTGCTGATGCGGCTAATGCTGCTGGTGCTGGTGCGGTGCTCATGCTGCTGCTGCTGCTGTTGCTGCTGTTGGTGTTGTCGTTGTGCTTTTGCTGTTGTTGTTGCTGTTGTTGCTACATTGTTGCTGCTACATTGTTGTTGGTCCCCAATCGAGCCTATGGCCGAAGCTACGCGCACGCCCAGTCAGGCTGCAACCACCTTGGCCAGTGATAAGCACACGTGTCCACGCGCAATGATGTCAGAGCTGCACCCGCTTTGGCCGAATGATAAGCACACACACATATACGCCCACGTGCACTGATGTCAGAGCTGTATCCAGCTTGGCCATTGCTAAGCACACGCTTCCATGTGCACTGACGTCAAAACTGTGCTCACCTCTGCCAAATGATACACGCCCGCGCGACTTGTGTCAAAGCTGTATCAACCTTGGGCATGGGTAAGCACTTGCGTCCACGCCGCTCATGCGAGAGCTGCATCCAAATTGGTCAATCATCAGCACACACGCCCACTGACGTCAATGCTGTATCCACCTTGGCCATTGTGAAGTGCACGTGCCCACGCGCGCTGGTGTCAGAGCTGCATCCACGTTGGCCAATTAGAAGCACGCGCGTCCACGTGCGCGTGCCAGAGCTGCACCCACTTTGGCCAATGATAAACACACATGTGCTGATGACACTGTGGCCAATGAAAAGAACACACGGCCACACGCACTGGTGTCACTGCTGTATCCAGCTTGGCGAAAGGAACGCACGCACGCCCACGCGCACTGATGTCGCAACGGCACACACATCCACGTGCACTGCTCCATCCACCTTTCCATTGCTAAGCACACACGTGCACTCGAACTGATGTGAGAACTGCGCCCACCTTGGCCAATGATAAGCACTCACGTCCACGCGCGCTGATGTCAGAGCTGCACCCACTTTGGCCGATGATACTTTTTTTGTTGCTGTTTTTGATTGCTGATAGCTCTGCGTTTTGGAACGAAGCACTGATTGAAGTCGGTGCGCCTCCCTGGTGGTTGTTGTTGCAGCCTGAAGCTGTTAAAATGGCAGACATCGGCAATATTCAGCTGGCTGTTTCTTGTGGCTCCATCAACAATGTTCCGGCCATATGGGATTGTAAAACGCGTCAATCATTTTGGGCCGGTCTGAGTTACCCCTCAACAATCTGATTCACTCTTTGCCTTCCAGTTCGTTTGGCATTAGACACTCATGATCAAACAACGTCAAACACTATGTCGAGCGAACCGAAAAGGACGCGATTCACTTGCTCGTCAGGCCGAAAAGCGGTTCAAAAGGAAAGGGTCCTAATTGGGGACCCCGTTGCTCGGTTTTTTGTTTGACACAGGGTCACCAGGGTCGAACAACAATGCATTTTCCAAACACTTGCTCTTTGCTGCGAAACGCATCTGGCAAGTTCCTGTAATTCTCAATCCAGAAACAGGGGAACTCCCTTGGTCATGCCTGAGCTACTAGTGGGAATGAATGGCCACCCTGGTCCTGGTGCAAAAACCCATATATCTCAACGGCGATGCTGACCTGAGTCGACAAACTGTCGCCCCATCGGCCGTTGAAACTCCCTGCAAAATGCAGCTCTCCCACGGTTGCGGGTTCCATGCCGTGGGTAAGGCGGTAAAGCCGGAGATGACCGCAACGGAGCACATTCCCTGGGTCTCGGAGACGCAAAAAAACACACACCTGGCTCGGAACCCATTCACCAGAGCCCGTCTAAACTGGGTGTCATGACTTTACTCCACGCTGCCCGGCCACCACTGCACAAGCGACTGCTCTCTTTTGTTTTTTCTCAGGGTAACGGGCTGAGCACCTTGCGAAATGGATAAAGAACCTATTTGCTCTGTGACCGTTGGCGTCCTTCTGATGTCAGGATGCGCCAACCTGTTCCAAATGACCTGTGCAACCAGGAACCGTACTTGTTTTAGGGTCACCGGTTGCAATCCCCTTCAGCTGCAGCTGACTGGTAAATCCTGCCACTTTTGGAGGTCCAAGCAAGGAAGCCCTGTTGTTCTTAATTCTTCGCGGCTTCCACACTGTGACGCGGACAAGAGTTTGTCCAGCACAGCCTCAGGCTTCCCCTCGTTTCAGATGTCCCTCCGAGAACAAGCTGCGGGCCCTTCCTCACCTGAATCTCGTGGACCATTACTGTGACCGAATCAGTTGAGGCACCGCAAAAGCGACCTGAAAATGGGGGCCCTGGTAACCTTGATTACCCTGGGATGGGACCAATCCCGGATTAGTTGCACCCTCCCGCCGCTTTAGAAATTCCTGGCCTGACAAAAACAAACTGGTCAGAGTCTGCCAAAGATGAGTTTACAGGTCCCGAGGGAGTCCGGAACCTGGGACAAAATCCCTGCGGGTTTCCTTAGGGGAAAATAACCAACATTGGGCTGCGTGGCACCCGTTTCTTCACTCGCTGTTGGCCCAGTTTGCTTTTTTTGCCCCTGTCTGATCTGGAGAAATAAGCTCAGGTGATATCCACAACAGCATGCTCTTTTTAGTGCTCGCACCACCCCGCAACCCTCGCAGAACCTCGTGGAACCTCGTGGAACCCTGGTGGAACCCTCGTGGAACCTTACCTCCGGGCCGCCCCGGACCACCCCGGAGCCTATCTGGGCTAAGACCCCAAAGCTTTCAGCTGTTGGGGAAAAATGAGTTCACCTTTTAGGCCGCTGTGACTAAAGCGCGACACTCAAACACAAAGAGCACAACGAGCCGGGTCTTGGATAAGGAACGGACTATTGCCCTGCGAATGATTCAACAAGGATTCAATTACACTACACCCTTCGTTCCATTTTGTAGATCATGCTTGATTTGAATACCATCCATGTATGCCATTCTGACTTGCAAACTGCGCACTGCAACTCAACACCATCGCAATTGACGTTTTGGCGAGGCCGGCAAAAACGGATCCAAGCCCTCTAGTGCCTGAATCAATCTCCCCCAGAATAAACAGCCTCACCTGGCAACCTGGCCCCCTCAAACAGGCGCCAAGAGGAAACTCACCCGATGTCACCCAAAATGTAAAAAATGGAGGAGCCCACATCTGACGAATTCATTGAACCCCCGATGGTGTCCACTCCCGCACACCTCAGCCTCACAGCCAGAACCTTAAAAATTTTCTTGAGACAAATCGAGGCTTGCCTAGCCCTGGCCATTTGGAGCAAAAAGACATTTGTGTCATTTGAGCTGTCTCGACACTGAGAACTCCCTTCTGGATTGTGTCAAAGGCAAAAGGAGAAGCCATTTTAAGCTTGCCAGGATGCCGCCGCAAAAACCGCAGCACAAATGATGGTAATGCTCCCAAAGGCCTGGCACAAGGGAATGTCACAGATGCTGCTTCCCAGCGAAATGGCAAACTGTCCAACTGATTTGCCTGAAGGATGCAGATGGACTGACATCCCGCGGCAAACATCAAGGGGTGAAGAACATGTTGGTCGCTCACAAGTTGAATTAGCTCCCCGAAATGAATGGGACAATTCACCAAACCCCAAGCAAACCTTCACTGTATATCTTGTTTGGGTGTGGAAAAGTATTGGTGGTTTCCCTCATGGCCACTGTAATTTGGTCAGAAACCAAGCTCAAGGACTTGTACAGGCTCGCTCCCCAATTCGCACCGACTTACAAATTTGATCTAAGGCCCGAAGCAACCAGAGAACCAACCACTCAAGGGCTGTCTGGCGAGGTGTCCAATGCGCAAAGAATCCCGGTGCCAAGGCTTACCCTTTGCCCCCTTTGGCCAAATTTAATGGGCTCCTTCCAAATGTCTGACCGATAAAAAGCCACACGTTTTGAACTGATTTATGACCACAAATCTGACATGCTCACTGGAGCATGACAATCCAATTGCTTCTGGTTTGTTGACGGAGTGTAAGAACAGTTTGGCTCGCTTTCGACGTGCAATAATTCACTCGTCCAGCTGTGCTTTACTTTCCGTGTTCTTTCCCAGAATGCTTCTTTTCAGAAAATTGTCCAAATGCCAAGCTTGCGTGCCAGTTAGCAGCCGCATGTCATCAACCGCTTGACAAATGCTAGACAACACCGGACCTGCAGTGGCCGTTGGCAGAGAGCCACCCCGCTCTGTGGCACTGGAAAAACATAAACCGACTGCAGAATTGAAATCAAGAGGACCACAGCTCTGGGAAATGCAAGGGTGCTTGAGCTGCCAATCCCAAACATACTTCTACCCAGCGGAACTCGAGCGGGAAACAAATCTCCAGTCAGCCCCCTCAAAGGGAAGTGTCATGTCCAATCCAAAGGATCGGCTAAGAGGCCCGGCATGCTCGGTCTGGTCCAAGGCCGCATGGAACTTGTCTGCTCCTCGAAAAAAAATCCACTCCACTCATGGAACCCAAGCCTACGGGGAACCTGGGTCACGGCTGCGCTAGTCGCTTGGTGCTTTCGGGGAAGTCACTGTCAAAAATGTTGGGTGTTTGCTCATTTCGCTCGCAGCGTGGCAGGCATCAACATGCAAAACTACTTCGTTTGGCTAACTGCGCAACAATTTCGCCCATGCCCCCAAACAAGCAACAACGGACCAATGGAACTTCGCCAACACCTTGGGGACATATGTCAACAGTCACCCCGGTTTTGAAGACCATCCACTGGTCCGGGGTGCCGCCCTAGATGCCCCCCTAAAACCTGAAAAAAAGACATCCTCACCAAACAACATGTACTCATATGGACTTGTCACCTTGGGGCAATGGGGTTGGTTTCCTTGGTTTCCCGTTGGCTTCCTTTGAACCACGCCCCGCGGATTTCGAAAAGAGCTTGCCACAGGTCCTGCTAGAGCTAAGGGGTACAAGGCTCTTCCTGGATTGCTTCAATCAACCTTAGGAGATCCGAAGAAAAACTTACCCAGAAAGCATACAATGAGCGAGTCCCCGGATTGACATTTACTTGCTGGTGCTCAGTATGCAATGACTCAGGGTGCTGAGATGAACCTAGGGATTCCCTAAAGGAAGCGATGAGGGATTCTTTTATAGGGGTCCTTCCCTTCCCTGCTGAGAAGCAGCAAGTTTAGAGATCATCCCTCCCACAAGAGATATCCGACTCGCCTCAAAGAATGGTTTGCCCCCAGATCGAAATCGAGAGGATGATTCATCAACTGCATTTTTCGCCGCGGGTCATGGCTGACCAAGTTTGGGGGCTCCAGAAATAGACTCAGGCGCAAGCAAGACCTCAAGTTTGGTCAACCTATTCAGTCAGCCAACTAATGGGACTCTACGGGACCCTGCCATCCAGCTTGATGAAACTGCTGGAAAAAGCAACGTCCGTCCACGAGTGGTTCCCTTGGCTTACGCGCTTTTTTTCGGACCCAATCGGCCGAGGCAAGCAAAAACTGACTAAGCATCAACAAACACTTCTTTCTAAAGCATGCAGAACAAACTTACGAGGCAACCAACAACTTCTTACGCGCCATGTTGCACCCATCCTAAACCGACGCCAAACCCCCTCAAAACCGACCTCAACCCAAAGAAAACTCACCCCCAACAAAGTCTAAACAAAGCAGCCCCAGCCATGCCCGACAAGTTTGTTTCTGAAGCTGAACAAGTTGTTGTTTGATGCCACAGTTTCCAGGCTGTTTGCTGTGTTTTGCAGCAAACTAGTTCACGATAAGCTATTGATAGATGTCAAATCAGTTCTCTTGATTTTCAGAAAACACTTTTTGGGAGCGCAGCAAGCACAAACAACGGTATCAGACAGGTAAGAACTATATGGGGCGCGCCTTAAAAAATGGCGAGGGCGTTGGGTGTGGGGGCGGGCCCCCCCTAGTGCCAAACAACTGCATCAGGCCTTCCTTTCTGACTTCCTTCCTTCCTTCCTTCCGTTCTTCCTTCCTTCCTTCCTTCCTTCCTTCCTTCCTTCCTTCCTTCCTTCCTTCGCAGTTGCCTTGGGTCGGCAACAAGTTTTCTATTGATGCCTGATAAGTGTATTGTCTTAGCTTCAGGAATTTAGAACAATGAAGCCCTGTTCCTTGATGTCTCCAGAAAAGGGGGCTGCCAGTTTTGAGACATGTGCCACGGATAACTCTCTTTAACGGGAGCCCTAGTGGATGCCTAGACAAGACCGACCGACAAAATCGATACTGCGGCACGGTTTTGAAGATCGAACGAGCAAACTTTCTTTCGAGTCGTCTGGTGTGGCAATGTGGGAAACAACCAGCATTCATGAGGCAACATGCTCGACTTACTGTACGGTAGGCCCCGTGATTATCGAAACTAGCTCTGCTTGCTGCTATCTCGCATGCACATGTGTGGCCGGACAGCCAAACTTCCCACTAAACAGAATAACCTACGGTGGCTCGGGGTGGGAGCTTAATCGGGTGAAAGTTTTGAGGTTGTGCTTTTTGCATGACCCAGAAGAACAATGTACGTCTTATTCACATACTTCGGCAGGGTCCAGGGTCCCAAGCCGGGGGTAGGGCTTCAACCCGCTGTTCCGGAAGGTAGCCATTGGCCATTCGCACCCCTTTTTAACTCACGCATCTTTCTCAGCGAACCAACTCCGGGGCCGGTGTTCCGGCGGCTCTCTCCGCAGTCCTGCAGTCCAATTCCCGAAGGGGTGCTGGAAAGTGAGCCCCTGCGGCGGCAAAACCACATGGTCGCAGGGCGTCACCCAGAGCCAGCAAGGCACCTCAGCGAAAAGGCTGGAAATTCGGGCCTCCAAATGCAGTAAACAAACCAATAAACCCAGAGAAGTATGGAGTGGCTTCATATCCCATGGAGTTAGACCCCTGGGCGTGGTTTGCTAGTGGAGCCCTCTTCTGGAACCGTCTCAAAAGGAAGGCTGTGAGCCTGGAAAGGCGAGAAAATCTGCGGCGTGTTTGGTGCTAAGCAAAATCGTGGTATGAGGAGTTCCGGGTTAATCTGCGGGAGAGCAACCTCCATGCCATTTCTTTTTCGAAGCTCCGCTTAGAGAAACCTATTAGTCGGGAGAGGGAGTTCCTTTCAGATTAACGTGGAAACCAAGACTAAACACGTATTTGTGGAGGAATCTCCCTTTGAGGGCCAGGGGGGTGGGGGGTTACTTGTTGAAGTTCCAGGTCAACATGCAGGAGAGTAGCTTTGCCGTTGCTGTTTTCAGCCCTGTGAGAACCTTCAGTCCTGAGGTATTTGATTGATGGTCCAATGCAGCCAAAGCCTGACTGTTTCGCAGACTTCACGCGAACAGCCAGAAAGGAAGCAGGTGCGATCTATCCACAGGCAAGCAAGCCTTAGCATGTTGTTTGGTTGCTCAACCTAGTCATCCCTATGTTCAAGGAAAGCTCCAGACTCTCACTTCCGACTTCCGAAGCTAACACTCCTTCTGGGCTCCGTGAAAAAAGAACTTGTTTGATAGTATTTCTCACTGGTCAGCACACCTGCTGCCTCTGGAATTGTTCAATCGTGTCATTGAAACAACATACCTATTCATCCCTACTCCTGTCTTATTTTTCCCCAAAGAAACAGTCGCCAGCATTGTACAACACTTACACAGCAAAATCGTGCAGTTCAAAGTTTCCCCAAACCTGCAAACTCCTTCATCCAGGGAAAAAGTCAAGTGCAAGTCATGACCGAAACATCCAAATGGAACACAACGTGCACATTCAGGCACCTCCGCAACTCAGACACCAAAGTGATGCCCAGCTTAGTTCGACTTCAAGTCAGTGTGTCCTTCTGGTCCCAAATCCCCAAACCTTTTGAGGAAACCCGGCAGCTTGTGCTGCGGCGCATACACCTCGAGGAATTCGCCAGATTCGTTCCTCAGCGGTGGGATCCCGTCTCTACCCTTGAACTATTGAGTCAAAGTTGCCGGACTACAAGGAACTAAGTGGGCAGTCTGGCTTGTTTTCCCGTGCACGGCTTCTGTTGCTTGCCATACTCGCTCGCTTGAATTGTTTCTTGTTTCTACTAATGGAGTGCTTTTTATACCCGCAGTGGATACGCTTTTAGACAACCATCAAGGGATTCCATGCTCAGCAGCAATACCCAATATGTGCCTGTGACTGCTAGGGCAATCTCATGCAGGACAACATGATTCGCAAAAGACTGTGAAAAGCCAACGAAAACCTGAATGTTGATGTACGTGTCTGTTGGCTTGCACGTCTGGCTATCCCGCTGTTGATATGCTTACTCGCGTGTGCCCTACAGTTGTTCTTGCTTGCATGCTTGCATGTCTGCTTGCTTTGTCGTCAGCGCTGATGCGCTTGCGTGCGTGTCCAGTTTGTGTGGTTGAAATCAGAATGACAGCAATGAGGTGATGCATGCGCCCTGTTCATGATGAGGATGGGAGCTCACACGTACAGAGGCGTTTGACTTGTTGGTCTTGAACGCTTGGTGAACATAACTCGCAAATGTTGAAGGACAAACCTGGTCAGCATGGTGTATCTGCGACTTCCAGTGGCCATGGGAAAAGGGGGCATCCTTTTTGTTGCAGTTGATGTTCAAGGGGCCCCCCACAACAAAAGGGCTTCGCTGGAGGTCTGGGATCCTTACGTGCTGTAATCCGTAGATCCTGACTTTGATGGCATCACAAGGAGAGGCAAAATGGGATAAAGTTGCAAGCATCTGCACGTTCTGCAATAATTCCTAAACCGAAACAAGGCATCCCCAAGTAAAGCGCCATAGCGCTAGATCGTTTTGCAGTGAACTCGCCCAAAAATAGGCAGAAGCTGCACTCCGGTCCGTGGAAATCCCCACAAAGAGGCGGTCGATCGAGCCCTATTTAGTGCTTCAAAGCGTCCTGGCCACCACCCTCGCGCGCTCACGCTGGGGTGGGTGGGTGGTCAAAAAGAATGCCCTTTCTTGGTTGCTGTTGACCCCTCTGCGAAAAGTTAGACTTTTTGTGGGTTTCATGGAAAACCCCATGATTTCCCAAAAAGTTAAAGTCCAAAGATCCAACCCAATAGCAATCAAGCTTGCACTCGCCGGTGCTTGTCAGGAATGTGGGAATGAACCCAGGGGTCCGATGGTTTATAAGGGTCCTTCCTTCATTCCCTGCTTGAGCACCAGCAGGTGTAGGCTTGTTGGACCCCGCTGCCTTGTGCTGCCTTTTAAAGGGAGACTAAAAAGGGCCTCTGGTTTGAGAACCCCCCTATGCTGTCGGTGCTGCCAATTCACAATGGATCGTTGGACGAGTGCAACTGTCTCGAAAGGAAACTCACCCATCCAAGACTGCAAATACTGACAAGCAACATGGAATGGGCATTAAACCAGAAGGGGCTGGATTCCTTTGGCTCGAAGAGGGTATTTCCTAATGAGGGACCCTTTGGTGGACATCGCTTCAGTGGGATTCATGCCCACCATCCACTTTTGAGCTGGACCCTCAAATGCAACGCTAGAAGGAAAATAGTCTTCCAATGCTGAAGCCAAACATGGCAACTCTCAGCGTAGCTACCAAACAACATGTTTACACAGTACCACAGCAAACCCCCCAAAACAAATGCGGAGGCCCCACCTCAAAACATTGAAAGCGTTCAAATCCCTCCTGGTGATGCCGCTGCCCTCCTTGTCCATTCCCATGCTGCTATACCCTGCTTCTTTGTCATGTGTTTTCTATTTGTGTTGGAACGCCAAAGTATCTTGAAAGCTGCCAGCGGCGCACTATTCAAAAAGTGATGATCTGAGGTCACATGAGGTACCCATGAGTGCCCAGCCCATGACAATGCGGGTCCTCATGTTCGTAACTGGGGCCAGCTGGGCCGCAGCCACTTTTGAGCTCCAGCAAAACGAAATTGAATGGAACGTCAAATTCAACAATACGAAATCAAATGAATAGAAGCTCAAATCGAGTTTGAAAGGATGCCGCAGCAATACTAAATCAAATAGTTGAAAGATCCAGCAATAAGAAATCTCCAAGAAAGCTCCAGCAATACAAAATCAAATGAAAACATGGACCCAAGCTCCTTTTGGAATCCTTCTGGAGTGCTGGAATCCTCATTCCCAATTCAAAAGTAGTACTTCCCAATACTAAATAAAGTAATACTGCCCAATACTAAAGTAGACCTCCCTTATTTCAGATCTAACAAACTGACTTTTGGGTGGGAAACACCTTCTGGATATTCTCAGGGAGGTTATTAAACCGATGTCACCTTAAGGCCTTAGAAGGCTTCTTGTGCAAGGCTGCAGAGTTTGTTTGGATGGGCTTGTGCTGGTGGGGGTGCATGATAGGTATTGATAGGTGAGCTCGCCACAAACTGTTCAAATGGATACATGTGTATCAGACGCTCCCGACGACAAAAACAAATGGCGGCTTCCAACCCTGCCACAAGTGCCTGGTCCAGTCATTGCAGCCAAGTCACTTGGCCGGAGGACTCATAGAGTCCTCCACATCCTCAGGTACATTTTGCCTGCTTTGTAATGGACTGTAAAATGGCCATGGGTCAAAATCCCGTACCCCCAGTGAACATCCCAATTCCCACTGAAATAGACTAAAATGGTTGGTGCACCTACCCCAAAATGGTACCATTGGTTTTGACCCACAGCCAAATAATGTTCTGTACTACTCCTTCGTCATCTTTGCCTTGCAGAAACTACCTATATCTTCTTTTGTGGAGCGCATCGAGGCCATCATGGCGTCACTCCGGAGGGAAGATGTCTGCAATAAGGCGCCGAGTGAGTCAAAAATCGATCTTGGCTGTGGCTATGTGATTGGTGATTGGTGCATGAGCTATGGGTGTCAGGCGGGGCCGCGGGGCTATGTTCGCACACCTTTGCGCGTGCCAAGTTCCCCGGTTTGGGGGGCTAATGAGGTGCGGTTTTGGCGACCCTTTTGCCAACAATGGAAATGGAACAAGGTGCCTTTTCACGAGAATTGTATTTCCCCCCTTGAGAAGTATCATTTTCTGTTTTATTTTAAATTCTTGTCGTGGTTCATGTTGTTCTCCCCGTTGTGTTTTGGTTCCTTGTCGTTTCAACCCCCGGATGTAAAATCCGAGGCTCGGCCAATGTGCCTCGACAGGCGTCGTGAAGTCGCCGCCCTTCTGACTCCATGGACCCGGGCGAGTCCTTTTTGCTGCCGGAGTCGGAGATCCGTCACGCGGAAGTGGGGCTTCGGTCACACTGAGCTTGGTGCAATAGGTGGGGAATGAACGAGACCGGGTTGGAATGAATCGGAAGGGGCTTCCCTAGGAAACCATAGGGGATGGAAACCAAAGATGGTTTATAGGGGTCATTCCCTCAGTCCCTGAGAAGCAGCAAGTAAGTGAAAGAACCAATAACAACAACCACATTAGCACATGGCTATGAAGTTCAATAGCGAACATACTCGCAAATGGTTGGAAGAACACACATCCATGTGTAAGTGATGCCCACCAAAGGGTTGGAGCTATTTGTTTTACCGTTGAATGGTGGGGTGTTCCTACTTCGTTCTACAGCCCGTGGCCCTGTTGAAGTCAGTGATCTCGTAAAACCGTGCGCGAGCACGATGGATCAATTGTTGAGGAGCAGCTATCAGGCTGCACCCCGTTGGCATAACGGAGGGACTGAACATTCCATTTGGAAGGACCACCTAAAAATCCGCTTCGCACCAGCTGGGATGGATGAAAACCTTTGAATACTGGGATGAACTGGGTGTCAGACAGGGCTCTGGAAAAACAAGCATCCCCTTTCAGGTGAACTCACAAGAAAAGGCTATTTACCGGGCTGTCCAGATCCCCTGAGAAAAGTGAGCAACTTTTAGTGGGTAAAAATGGAAACCGACTAAACCGACTAAAAAGCAACCGGAGAACTGAGAGTTATCAAGTTTAGTACCCAGTCTGGAACGACTTCGTCCACTCCTTCAGCATCAAAATCAGCCACGGCAGAGCTGCAAGTACCCACCACGGAACTTCAGAACCGGAGTGCGCATGGCGTGCCATGGCAGCAAATGCTGCACCGGTTTCGGCGAAAATTGGAAAATCATCTATATATTACGCCAAAAGGCGTGATGTCAAGTCTGCACGCTCATGTAGTCTACGCTTTGGTTCATGGCACATGCTGGGCTCAAGATGCCATGACGCATGGTATATTTCCGTAGGCAATAGCAAAACACTGGCAAAGCATTCCACGGCCTTGCTGAAACCATTGACAACATGGTGTTTGTCCACGCACAATACGTTCGCGTCTCGGCGGCACATCTTTTGCAACATCAGTGGAGAAGCATTCTTAAAGCGCAAGCTGGCAAGAGTCCCATTAGATACTCTGGCAAGGGCTTGATTTGTATTGGGGGCGATGTGGTGGACGTCATTGGCATGGGGATGTATCTCCAATCATTTTGAGGGGCTCCAGACTAATTACTCCGACGCTGATACATGCTGACACTGCATCCTTTGAATCTGGGCAAATTGCTATAGTTCACCAGCAAACCTCATGGGTGAGCTCGTCTTGCCCGAAGCGAGCTCGTTTATATGATATGACTTGCCCAGTTTGAATCAATGCAGCAAGACGTCAACCCTGGTATCTAATGCCCGGCCTTGCCACATCCTTTTCACTGAAAAGTTCAATTCAACAAAACAACCATGGGGTGTGTATGCCAATAGAAGACGCCCCTTTTTGAATGCATGGGTGTGAAGGAACACCAAAAGAAAAAGAGAACCTCAACCATTGGTCAAGGTTCCTGAGCATTGAGAACCCCGTGTATTGTCCTGACAGGTAGGCTGTTGACCTGCTCTTGGCAGACAGCTGTAGCGCCGGCTGGGCTTCCGTATGGCTCGCAAAGCATTCGTCCTCGAAACATCACCCACTGAAAAACTAGGGTGTTGCTTACACCACAATAAGGAACTGGGGAAAGTTGTGTGTGTGTGAATTTAGTGAACCCCCCCAATATCCTATATCCATCCTAAATTCAGCATCGACTAGTCATGGGTCCTTGGCTAAGCATGCTTACATTGGTGACAACAATCATTGAAGGGTTGAGAACTGATCCTTGTTCCCCCAAGTTAAAGGGTGTTTTGACTCGACCATGGCACGTATCCGCAAAAGTGAGAATCGAGATCCCCAAGCAAAGAAGCTGAAGCACGGTAATTCTAGGGGTTGCTTCCCCATTCTGTTCAGCCATCGTTCATTAAAAAAGAACAAGAACGGCTGTTCCCCCAGGTTTTTTGGTGGTTTTCTAGAAAGAATACCTGGAAAGAATGGAAATGATAGTTACCCCTAGAGTAATTAAGCTCGTGTTACCCCCAGAGCTCGCCCCAAAGCTCAGGCAGACGTGTGGGCTCTCCACGGACGCGCACTTTTTCCTCGCAGGCTTTGGCACAGGCCGCCAGCGCTGCGTTGTGGGCCGCTGCATCGGGCCTCAAGACACTAGACATGCTCAATCTCAGTTGTTCAGTGACCCTGGAAAAAAAGGAACCCTTTTGGGGGAAGACAACATTTAGTGGGGCAGGCAGTCACCAAAAAAAGGGAAAAGGGGTGCCACTGAACAACTGAGCAATTGTTCCCTAGCTTTGTCGATATGCTGGAAGCTCAGTTCTACAACCACCACAGTGTTGAGTGGCATCCCCAATCGCAACCCCCAGAACCCACGCTTCCAGAACCAGAGAAACAACGCCGGGAGCTGCTCAAAAATCAAAGCTGCGCAGCCCTATGGCAAAGACTCCAAAGATTGCAGCCGTGGAAAACCCGCTGGCCTTTGCCAGTCATTCTTCCCTCTGCTGGTATGACATGAAGAAAGGGGATGGTGATCCTCGTGAACCTGACCCGCGGAATTGTCTTGAAGAAGCTAAAAATTTGGGCCTTGACTCAAATGATAAAGAACATAGCCAAAAAAATGCTTAAAGTATGCTAGCCCAACAGGTAGGTGTCGCTTGTTTGCCACCGTTTCCAGTACACCATCGTCTTTGCTCTTCTGTGTCACTTGCTTGCCGCCTTTGAAGGACCTCATCTGTCAGCGTTCAACCCTACAAGAATATTGTTTCTACCAGCGTTTGAGAGGACGAAGATGTAACATGGTACCAACGTGTTGACCAAGATTCCGGGACCAGCTTGCCTTACCTCCAAGAAGATATCTGATAAGGGGCCAAACAAATACACACCTTCTCTGATGATCATGACTCGGCTTGGTGTTAAAGTACCCCATCAGCCCCCAGTGATGGAACCGCACTTTGCCGGGCCTCGTTTTTGACCGTTTTCCAAAAGGGACCCTGTGGGTGCCATGTGGACAGGATACGTCGTCAATGGAAGTCCAGTGCCGGACCATTGAGGGGCTACAGATCTGAATGACTCTCCACGATGCCCTGTGGTGTGTTCAAGATTGCTCATTCTTGGTTTCCTGTTGATTTGTGTTGTTTTTTCTTTAGAACAAACAAGCAAACCAAGGGTATATACATGTATGGTCCCCCCCCCCCCCCAGGGACCTACCTTTTTGATGAATTCACTGGTTTTGCAGTGTATTCTACCCTTTTTTGGGCTTTGGGGACAGCAATGAAAAAGAAGCATTTCCAAGGACGTTCTGGAAGCTTCAGGCTTGATTGAAACCGATTTACACCGATTTAAACCGATTTAATTTAAATCGAGCATGGATTCAAGATTCAAGATTCAAGAATCCAGGCCAAGCTTTTTCAGGATTCTTGAATCCAGGCGTCGATTTAAATCGATTTAAACCGATTTAACTTAAATCGGGCATGGATTCAAGATTCAAGATTCAAGACTCCCTAGAAAAGTTTGGCCTGGATTCTTGAATCTTGAATCTTGAATCCATGCTCGATTTAAGTTAAATCGGTTTAAATCGGTTTAAATCGACGCCTGGATTCAAGATTCCCTGGAAAAGTTTGGCCTGGATTCTTGAACCTGGAATCTTGAATCCATGCCCGATTTAAACTTAAATCGATTTAAATCGGTTTAAATCGAGACCCAAACTCAACATTGCACTTTGCGCGGCTGTACTTTGGCACAGCGTTGTGCAAGCATCCAAGTCCTGATTATTCATTCAATCTGTTTCAATCTAGGCCCACATTCAAGATTGCAGGTCAAAGTTTTCTAGGGAATCTTGAACCCAGGTTCAACTGAAATTTCAGTCGGTCTCAATGGGTTTCACTCGGGCCTGGACTCGCGTTTGCAAAGAAGACTTGTCTAGAGAATATGGGTTCTTTCCTTATCAAATCCTGTTAAAGATCATATTGAATTGCAAGTATATATTGGGAAAGGAACTCTATTTAAACTCGCAATCTCAAATTTGATTACCATTAGGATTCTGACCAAATATTTCCGTATTGAGTCCCAATTAAATCCTGTTCAAGTTCAAATGAGCATTTAGAGAGCGTTCGTTGGTGGAGATGTGAATTGAGTATGAAAAGCGCTACACAACACTGTGTTTACGGTGTTTTCTGACCAAGGTAGTGTTAGGACTAGTGAAAGACACAAGTTTGGGACCTTTGGATTCTTTCCTTATGCATTCCACTTAGTATGTTTTATCAAATTCGACCTTGTTTCTGATTGAAATTCAATGGAGCTTAAGAAGGACATACTCCAGCCAAAATTGCAATTTAGATTCGAACTTAAATATTGATTGTTTATGTCAAATTAAATGGTACAAACGATTTCCTGTCCAATAGACCATTGTACATTGAAATTCAATCACTTTCAGAACTAGCTAGTCCTAGTTTGGTCCTAGTCCTAGTTGGGAGATCCTTGGTTCTAGGCCAAGTCCTAGCTTACTGAAATACATAGAACGTATAAAGGACATTACAAAGGAAGATCGTTAGGAATTGTAGTTAATATATTAGTCAAGTTCTATGCAACTTCTAGCTGAACAGTTGAATTTGAAATAAGGAGAATATCCAGTCAGAATTTACATGTTAGGACCAAATATTAAACAGGACTTTGTTTCCACTAGAATGTAATACTTGACATCCAAATACTATAAGAAGTAGAATTAAATGGTCTAGTCTTAGTTTGGTCCTAGATGAGAGATCCTTGGTTCTAGTGTTAGGTTGCTCCCTAGTTTACTGCAATAACATATACAGGACATTGCAGAGGAAGTTATACTTGAAGTTCATTTTTTGTAAGAATCTGAGGTGGGTCGTCTAGTCCTAGTTTGGTCCTAGTCCCAGTTGAGAGATCCTGGGTTCTAGTCTCATTTGGTCCTGGTCCTAGTTGAGAGATCGTTCCTCCCAGTCCTAGATGGGCAATTCATGCACTGGAGAGGCAACCCAAAGGTAGGTCCCTGGGGGGGGGGGTAGCACATGTATATACCCCTATGTTGAGAACCCCCCGTGTTCGCAGAGACTGAATGAACTCGAGCCTTCGCTGTCTGAGATTTCGACTCCAACTGCAAGCCCATCATCTCGCGCAGGAGCTCCAGCGCAGTTCTCCAGCACCCGGCTTTCTCCTCGGATCGGCTCGCGACTCGCGGCTCTCGACCCCGGGCTTTCCAGGCCAGCACGTTTCACGAGTCGATCCTTGACTTCCACTTAACCATGTGTTTGACTCCGCATGGAAGAACAGACAGGCCGCCCCCCATCCAAAACAACAGAGGTTTTCTCAAATGATACCAATAAGACCTAGAAAAAACACACATGCTCCAAGGAATCACAAGAAACAGTGGTCAAAGCAGCATAGCATGCATTGTGTTTCAATCTCCACATTCATTGGACATGCAACTGGGGTACCCACCAGCCTAGCATGTCTGAGTCACTGCTACTTGGACCGAGCAACATGGAGAGCAGTTGACTCCAACCTATGCACGCGACCAACACGATCCACTTTGGGGCAGCACAACATACAAGCATCACACCTGGGCGCTGCAAAAACACAGGGGACGCCCATGAATGCTTTCCCTTAGGGGTCATTTTAAACACTGACGTAAACCAACCGTTTCTGTGATACCAAAGTAGCTCCTTCCAATGATACTCTCACTTTCAGGGCGGGCATAACGCAAAGTGGGGCTGAAAATCCAGATGTCTTTTGGGGCAAGC